TAACGAAAATACACTTCTCTCTAAATAAAACAAAAGGAAAAAGAAAAAATTAATTGCAATCATAGTCTCAATTTTTTTTAAAAAGTGCAAATGAGTCCTAAATAAATTGTTAAAAGGGTAATTAGCACATAATATCCTTACCTTTCACTATTATAGCAAAAAAGTCCATACCTTTTTTTTTACATTTTCACCCTTAATTACACATTTGATTACGCAAACTATCATTTCTATCTATTTTCATCCAATTTCTCAATAAAAAACTGTGAAATGACGAATATATCCTCATATTTGAATAAAAAAAGTTAAACAACTAATTGCAACCATAGTCCCAATTTTTTAAAAAAATTGTAAACGAGTCCCCAATAAATTATTAAAAAATTTAATTTTTTTAAAAAAGTGAAAACGAGTCCCAAATAAATTATTAAAGAATTAAAATTTTAAAAAATATTTTTTTATTTAAATAGGAAGGTATATTCATTATTTCACAGTTTTTTATTACGAAATTGGATGAAAAATGATAGTTTACGCAATTAAATGTGTAATTAATGGTGAAAATGTCAAAAAATGAAAGGTATGGACCTTTTTTGCAATAACAGTGAAATGTGGGAACATTATTTACTAATTATCATTTTAATAATTTATTTGGGTCTCATTTGCGCTTTTTTAAAAAATTTGGGACTATGGTTGCAATTATTTTTTCTTTTTCTTTTTATTTTATTTAAAGAGAATAGTATATTCGTAATTTTACAATTTTTAATCGAGAAAATAAATGAAAATGACCTTTTGCACAATAAAATGTGAAAATAAGAGTGAAAATACCAAAAAGTGAAAGGTAGAGATATTTCTACAATAACAATGAAAGATGTGGACGTTATGTGTTAATTACTCTAAATTTTAATAGGTACCAAACAAGAGAAGATTATATTCTAGTTCGTGAGAATGAATAGTAGTTTCCATTGCTATGTATTCGAGTCAAAATTTAGTGTACTTAGTGCTTGTTTGGTAGGAATTTTTGGGAGAATAATTGATTTTTGAATAATGATATGATGGGAAATGTGTGGTTGAAAAAGAAGAAAACATTATTAATGAGATAGAAAATATTATTTTATTGAAAAAAGTGTACTTGAAAATGAGAATTGATTTGAAAATCAATTCTTAAATAAAAAAACAAACACCCCCTTAATTCTAAATTAAAAAGAATTTTAAAAATTTATTGCGTTGTGGATTGAACGTCTAACAAATTTTTTATGTATATTCAAATTACACGCTTCGGGAATAGATGATCCTATACTTCTTCTTTAAAATATTTCTATGATTTAAATTTTTTTTTTATTTTTTTGGAAGTGTTCAAGAAAGAAATTAGATTCGCCTTAGTTCATTGTGTTTTTGCGGAGAGAGAAATATTTTTTATCATTGTTGGTGGTGGTGTGGAAATCCGGTGGTTTGTCCGACGGTATGGTAGTTGAATTTGGAGTGAAAGCAGCCGGCTCCATAAACTGTCAGGTTTCTTAGCAGCCTGGTCAAATTTGGGGACGGGGGCTTCCCCTGCAATTTATTAAATTGTGGGGACCCTCATGCAATTATGGATTTCGGGTAAAGTTATATTTTTTTAAAGAATGTGAAGTTTGATAGGTTATTTGCACTTTCAAAAAGTTTAGCCCTATAGTTACAATTCATTCTTTATTTTTCTTTTGTTTTGTTTTGTTTTATTTAACTAGAAGAGTATATTGGTCATTTTATATTAAAAATTGGTGAAAATGATGTTCAGCGCAAAGAATGTGAAAGGTAAGGACGTTATGTGCCAAAAAATCAAAGGTATGGACGTTTTCCACAAAAACAGTCAAAGATAGAGACATTTTGCGTCAATTACCCTTGTATTAACACCAAGGAATCAAAAAGAAATTTTGATAACATTGGACAGATGACATGAAAGCATCTACGAGCACAAATTAAAAACAAAAGTAAGCCTTACTCGATGGGTGTGACGTGCTTTCAACCTCATATGAAAGGATAATAGTGAATTTCAAAAAAAAAAAAAGGGTTAAACAACGCCAAAATTTTAAAACGAATATTTTATCAAGTCCAGAGTTTCTCTTTTCATTTTTCACTGTGTTAGTCTAAAATAATCATCGTGACATCTTGTTTTGTATTGGTGTACTTTTTCTTTCTTGAATTCAGTACTGTTACTCTTTAAGTCTAATTAAAATGAATGATACCAACAACGATAAGTGGTAAAGCATTACCAACACTACTAAATATTATCGTAACAACCAAAAATGGCCGAAAATAAGCTATTTATATTTCTTTTTCTTTATCCCATTTTTACATATTTATCCATATTGAAATTTTTTACTGATTGCAATAAAATATAAGAATTAAGAAATTTTGCATAAATGGTCATTTGAGTAAGTGTGTAAATGTATAAAGGCTAGAAGTGTCTCATTCTTAAATAGTAGTGTTCTAAAAAGTAGTACCTTGGCGCGATGCGGGCGCAAAATGCCCTGCCTCGCACTTTTAGGTGCTTCTTTTTTGCTTATATATATCTATATATATGTTTTTTTTTAAGATTTTCTACGCTTTTTTATTTAATTATCAAATACTTTTTATGTTAATTTAAAAATATAAAATAATATTAAAATAAGAAAACATTTTTTTTTACGCCTAAACCTCGTCTAAGCTTTGCGCTTAGCCTCTACAGTCCACACTTCGTCATGTTTTATGCTTTTCAGAGCACTGTTAAATAAACATGCTTTTAATGGCATGAAAACTATAAAAATGACTTTGCACACCAAATCAATACATTGAGGGATCAGCGTCAAGAATAAAAGTTTAAGGACTATTTGCTCACAAGAGTCGTATGTTAGGGACCATTTACGTCAATTTCTCTTTTACATTTTGATGAATTATAATAGTCAAATCACAACGAGTTCTTGCTTAAGGATTTAATGTAAATTGTAAGATCGCTTATTTTTGTTTAGTTTATAATTCTTTGAGCTCCCCCCAATCTTTCAACATCTATCACTCTCAACTCAATCTCGATAGGACCTTTAGATCACTTTAAAGTTCATAAATTGTGCATCAAATATACAATGCGTGCCATTTAATGTAGGGACACAAGAAGGCATGTATGGGTTATTAGTGGAGGTTCCCATCTATGAACTAAGCACACTCAATTGATTAAAATTTCAAATTTAATTATTACAATGAAACACGGGTAATTAAAATGTTGTGGGTTTTCTAAAAGAATATAACGATGGCTTTTTAATACAGATTAATAGTTGACTAACATAGAGGAGGCAAAACACAGTAATTGTCTAGTTGGCCGACAATATAAATTTTATTGTATATCGTTGTATGTATTTTACTGTGATTTTAATAATTGACAACTCCGAATTAAGGAAACATATGTAACTTGATGGTGTTGATGAGTTGAGATATTTTATAAAGAATGCTCTTGTTGACCACTCTATTAACCAAATAAAGTACAAGACACGAATTATTTTGGGCAATAACAATTTTAAACCAAGACAAAATCATAATTATCATCATTCCAGCCCCATATTCACATGCCCTTTCATATGCATACATGAAAGATACAGCTAGATATTTGAATTCATTTCTTAAGACTATTACCCCAACCCCACTACAGCTCACCTCCCACACTTCCAATAGTTCTAAGGGCTTGTTTGTTTTAAAAATTACTTCTAAAATTAAGAAGTTATTTTTGAGCTTGTTTTGGATAATTGTTTAGAAATGGTTTGTTTGATGAATTTTTTTTAGATAAAGTTAATTTAAGACAACTTCTTCATAATGCAACTATCATTTAATTTCACATATTATTTAATGTTATCTAGATTGGATTTATAACCTCAATTCGGTTAAATAACATTACTCGTGCAAATAATTAGAAACAAAAGTAGTGCCAAATGAACATTAAACTCTCAGGTCATGTTTGATTGCCACATTTTTCATGGAAAATATCACATCCGAAGAAAACGAATTCCACTTTGACCGTTTGATTGTAACGTGGAAATGGAAATCGAATTCTAAGATACAACCACTTTAAACTGCATTTTCTTTATTTTCATGGAAAACGAATTCCTATGAGTTTGATGAGTTTTTATTTTCCAACTAACATGGAATTGATATTTCTTTCTACCTTTGCCTATCAAACGGACTCCTACGTTTTTTTATTGGATTCTTCCACCATACCCAAAACCCATTCATTGCACGCGCTTGAAGGTATATATGTGTACTTAAATCCCACAGCCACGCGCCAATCTACTTTCTTCTAGGCCCCCGTTTGGGCCACTTTTTTATCTCATTAAAATGAAAAATATGACCGTTATCCATCACATCAACATTTAAATTCAAATTTTCTATCTCTTATGTGGGTCCCAATAACAACTATATTTTTCATTCTCATTCTACAAAAAATGTGGCTCAAACATGAACTAGTTAATTTCATGCATATAAGCTGCAAGTCTAATGACCCTACACTCCCATAGTAAGAGCGTCATTTACACACACCTACAAGTAAAATTACTGCCCGTGGCACATCTTCAAGTGGTAAAAGGGGAAGGTAGAAAAACTATAGTTTTGTTTGAGATTGTCGCGTCAAGGGTTTGAATCCTGAAATATGGATTTGGCCATTGGGTAAGTACAAGTGTACGAGCAGCCTTCCGCAATGTACCCTTGAAGGCATAACCTGTTATTTAACTCCTTCACTAAGGTCCAGGACAGTGTAGGTGGGCCGTCAAGGATGCGACTAATCCTTTACAAGTCAAATTACTGCTCTACCTCTTTTGAGATAAGTATCATTGGCTAGTTAGCTATTTTAAACCTCTCCGTGTTCTTGCTGGCACCACCGGGCAGGCGGGTAGCCACCGTCTCTCTTAAACCTCCGGCGAATTCAGCAATAGACGCTTGTACCGTTACCTCTTCAATAATTCATTTTGCCCAGAAAATATTTATGTTATCACACTATCCTTCAAGAAAAAATGATTTATTTCCCCCATTTTCCGACCCTACTATTCACTATCTTCATCTGTTCATTGTTATCAGTAGTTAAATCAAATGAAACACCAGAATTCTCCATTTATGAAGTGCTTAAGCTTCATGGGCTGCCAATGGGCTTGCTTCCGAAAGGCGTAAAGGACTTCACCTTGGACAATTCAGGGACCTTCGAGGTTCATCTGGATCAAGCCTGCACTGCCAAGTTTGAAAATGAAATGCACTATCATAGAAACGTTTCGGGCACCTTACGTTACGGGCAGATCGACGGGCTGTCTGGGATTTCTGCTCAGGATTTGTTCTTGTGGTTTCCGGTGAAGGAAATCCGGGTCGATATTCCAAGTTCCGGTTTGATTTACTTTGATGTGGGTGTGGTTTCTAAGCAGTTTTCTTTGTCTTCATTTGAGACTCCAAGGGATTGTTTGGCTGTTCATGTCCCGGATCTTGAAGATGGAAGACATATAGTGGAGTCTGTTTCTAAGGTTAACTTTCATTTGTAAAATTGTTAATCGAATTCTTGATTTTTCTTTTCATTTTCTAGAATTTTTGCCCTTGATTCTCTGTTCTTGATTCTTGTTCTTTTTTCTTGAGCAATTTATTTATTTTTTACCTGCTATTGTTTAGAGCATGTTTGGTTCAGCTTTTTACCTACTTATTTTGCTAAAGAAATCTACTTTTTTTCACTTGAAAATCTCACTTTTAATCAGAAAGTAATTTGCTTGAATTATGTTTTATGTCTGATCATTTCATGTTGTTTTGGTTTGTGTAACTCGATCTGATCGCAGTGTCTTTATAAACAGATTAAATCGGAGAAGCTCCGGTATCAGCCTATTCAAGACAATACTGCAAGGACAGCATTGTAGATTTTGTATGGATTTTCCGTGTATGTATATATAAGTCTGGTTTCGCATGCATCTCTCATTTCTAGTTTGTTTGCTGGCTCGTTCGTGGATTGCTCGAGTTCGTGTGGTCGTGTTGTGGTAATGTTGTGTATTATCAATAGTATTGTATAGAAATTAAAATAAGACTAGTCTTGATTGGATTAAGAATAAAATTTTATACTCAAATTTGAGAAACTAAATTTTGCAAACTTTTTTAAAATTGTATCGTATAAGTTTTTTTAAAGGGATAATTGCAGCAAAAGTTCCGAACCTTTGAAACATTAGTAGATTTTTTCCAAACATTTCAAACGTAGTAGCCATCATCTCTAACATTTTCAACCATTGTATGTGAGGTCATTTTGGACGGTTTCGTCCAAAATGTCCTCAGTTGACCACCAGAATGAGTTTTGATCACTTTCTAACAGAATAGGGGAGGGTAAAATTGTCTTTACATTGCATGCATTCTTTAAAAAAAAAAAAAGGAAATCTCGTCCCACACCCAATCTTCATCTTCTTCTCCTCCGCCTCAGCCGCCGAAAATTGCAAAAGAAAGTGACTGTGCAGTACAAGTGGCAGTCGAAAAATCTGTGAAGAAGACAATTGTTTTACTCGAGTGAAGAAGACCACCTTGTAAGAACCCCACTGATAAGGTTTGTCAAACTCCATTTAGAGACGTCTAACAAATTTTTTTTAAGTGTTTTTTCATGAGCCCATGAGCCGGCTCGTAGGCTCGTGCCCACGAGCCGCTCGTGAAAAAATGAGCCGAGCCGGGCTCGGCTCGCCTAGCGAGCCCGCCGCTCGGC